AGTGTCATGTGATCCATTCATATACTCAGATACATTAAAATCACCGACTAACAACAAGTCTGGTCCATAATTACAGTCAAGAGAAATACATGAAAACATTTAAAACAGTCAGGAGTCACTCTGGGAGGGATATACATCACAAAGATATTAATATTTTTAAATCCTAAAGTAATTTTAACACCAATTATATCTATTACCTACTTTTAAAGTGTTCAGTGTGTCAGTATTTCTGTTTATATTGATAAGTGAGGAATTTATATTTTCTCGAACAGCCAACAAAACACCTCCCCCTTTTTTTCATTTGGGTATACGTAAAAACTATCAGAACGGTAAACAATAAAATTTTCGTCAAATATTTCCCCGTTTGATACCGAATCATTCAACCAATTTTCATAGCACATTTGTTGACCAGTTGATTTGTTTTCGTATTCAGTCCTCGAACGACGCGCGACGTGATAATATACATTTAAGTTATGATGGGACAGCGAGGCCTCCGAAGAAAGTGAATGAGTAAACAACGGTACTAATTGATTGCCATAGGTGGAGAACTACGATTGCTATTTAATGTTAAATATATCATTCTTAAAGGCGTCAAGTTTTTGTTTATAAACATAGCAACTACTTCTATCCCATGCTGCATGATTCATTATCGAGATTTTGTTTAATCTTAATGTTAGTACAGTTAAAACATTTAACACAAGAATTACTAGGACAATCTTGCACTTGATGATTTTTTAAACATCTAGACCAAATTACAGTATTATTACAGTTTCTTGCGATATGATATATTTAAAGCACATTCTAACTTCCAAAGCATTATAAATGGTGCGTAATCATGACCTATAAACATTTTACAGATTTCAATTGATTTGATATATGCTTCTCCATATAGCTGCGATATCACTTGATAAATATTTAAACGATTTTTTATAGGACTCGTTTTGATCATTTTTACAACACTCCTATCATTAAAAATTTATTTATTCTGAGTTTTAACAAGTACAACTATTTCTTCATCTTACAACTTGTCCGTCAATCCTACAATTTTTATTCTAGGATGTAAATTAGACACTACTTGAACTTCATAATTGGCAGCTAATTTATTTGATGCTGTATCTTTAAACATTTTCAATTCAACTGCACCATTTTTTATATTTTTAACACTAGATACGCATATTTGGTCATGTACTGGATTAATGTTCTTAAATAGATCATTCTTCGTTGATACATTTTTTTCGTTTTTGTCTTTAGATTTCACAATAAGAGAACCATTCTTTCCAAGGACTTTAGAGTATAAAGCCTTATCAGTTGAAGATGCCTTTTCCGCCTCTTTAAGTTTGGGGAACACAAAGATTCAATATTTTTTGTCGCCGCATCCAACAGCGATTCATATTTTTCGAGCATTTCTTGTTTAAACTTCAGAATAATGTCATCTACTTTCGGAAAACTATCCATTCGATTTTCAACTTGTTTCAAACTTATATAAATTATTATATTATTATAATTATAAACACTATAACATGTGATAACTTTCGGGAAATTCTCTGTTCTCGTTCTCAAGAATTATAGAATCAAGTTTACTAAAAATCCAGACATATGACTTTCTGTCAATTTTATCAATATTTTGGGAACGAAAACAGAGATGTTTTCGAAACATTAACGATTTATGTTGGTATAATGTAATCATGAACAATTATCTACTTTTTCAGTGTGAATTAGTTGTGGTTAGGCAGAAAGACATTTATAAAATCAAACCCTTTATCGATTCTTTTGACTCAAGGGGCCAAAAGTGGCTAATTTTGTCATGTCTGTAGTAAATTACCATTGCTGAATTACATTTGCTGATGCGTAGGATGATAAAATTTAATAAAAATTTGAAAATGTCTGTAGTAAATTACCAATTACATTTGCTGATGCGTAGGATGATAAAATTTAATAAAAATTTGAAAATAATTAAATATGACTGATTCAAGATGGCGCTTAAAATAGGTTAACCACGCTAATTTTACAAACATCTTATTTACTGATTCAAAAAGATATCAGATATCATTATCTAATAAACCAACAAATTCAACAAGGTAATAACCAATATGGCTACCAAAAGGAGATAAGAAAGATGATACATTGTAATTAACCTACCGGAGTGAATCAACGTAGCTTAACCTACCGGAAGGAATTAGCAAACAAGATTTTTTTTATTAACCTATCCTACCAGAGTAAATTAACGTAGCTGTTTTCTTTTTGTTAACCGATCCTGCCGGAATGAATTAACAAACAAGTAGGACGTCCGATCTCTTGTCGAGGCTAGCGACAGGCGCAAGGAGCGCTAGAATTTTCACCGATCTTTCCAAAGAACAGCGAAAATAAAAACATTCCAGTCTTCAAACCGCACCTTTAATTTTCAGCCTTTCAACGCCGGTAATCGTCGAAGGCCCAGTTTTTCGAACCCCAAATTTTCTGGATCTAAACCAGATCACGCATCAGGCCGCCCGCGCCCGGCGGAATCAAGCAGCGTACGAACGTCAACTTAGGTTTTCCCCAGTTTAATAACCAGCGTACGAATACTTGGCCAGAGTGTATACTTAATCCAAATTTTGCAAACTTGTATTTTATAAGCAACAACCGCGTTGGATATCTTGTATTACAATATAAGTAACTACTCGTAAATAAAGCTCACAAATTTTTACAAAACCCACATTTCGAGTTATAATTCCTATCAAAATCTACGACAGTAGGTAATATTATTTTATGAAAATATTTAAAGAAATCAGGAAAACTAAAAAATTATACATATTTTCGGTATATGGCATATAAAATAAAGTTGCTGGTTACTTGTATAACTAATTATGTGGCGTTAAATCAGTGGGTGGCATTAATAAAATGAAGTATATGCTTTTACGATTTTCTAAGGAAAACCTTATATCTATATTAATAAAAATTTTAGCAAAACCTGAGGGAAAAGGTTCGACTATAAGTGCAAACGTATGTTATAGTATCTCAACAACAAAAATAATCTTTTACTTACCAAAATATTGAAACTATAATCCTGTCCCTATATTTGATTAGCTGGTACAATTGAAGAGTTAGGTTAAGTAATAGAAAACATGTTTTATCTTTCTGTTGGAAAGCAGAAAATTATAAGCCGAGGCTCCCTATCCCTCAGACACTGACTTTTTCGTTTTACACAATATTTCGAATTCGCAACATTTTCTATCGGAGAACAAAGAAATGCGTTTTGTTGCATTGGATATTAAGACGAAAAGTTAGATATGAGGCTGATCAATTTTTAATGAAGCAAGGTGTAACAGCACTGGTTTCCGATACATAAGGAAGAGTGTTTAAATTTTACGAAAATATTATATTCTCTCAAATGTAACTAAAGATATTTTATGTACTTATGTATGTGATTACTGAAACTTGAGCTACCGGCGAGTTTAACCAGGAGTGAACATATCGGGTACCACAGTCCTTAAAAAGCCTACTGTCTACATCATTAAGTTTTAACGATTTTATTTGAAAAGCGAATCATTTTTGAGTTATTATTGTTTCTTCAATTCTAAATAAGCTGATTACACAGCTGAGTAAATATAAAATATAACTAAAACTATTCGATTAATAAAAACCACAAACGGTCAAGAAACAAACTAACTTTTGGGTCTATAAGGTGCGGCGGTAGCCGGCAAAAAACCGTAGTTTACAACAGTTTTTTAGTAGTTAGTGTCAAAAATGGCTTGCGTGTATAACAACTCAGAGTTGAATATCGTTTCAATTTATGGTGAAGCAAAACAACATTTCTTGTGTTAGTTCATAGAAACTATGTAAGACGGGTGCAAATGTGTTTACACGTCAGTGGACAAAATTTTGAACAGTTGTTATATCAGGTGTCAAATTATTTTATTAACTAAAACCACAAAATAACTTTATTAATTAATAATAACAGTAGGGGCAAAAGTAGTTGAATTTGTTGATATAAAATAGATGCTATAAAGTTCTATTTATTCCTTTCCTTGTGAAATTCTTTCAAGTTTTTGTCCGTTTTTATCACACCCCTGTCTCATTGTACGAGGTCAGGTTTTACAGTGGACCAGTTTCTAGTGCCTTGCAGAAGTATATTTTTAAATCGTTTTCGAACTGCCCTTTTTGATTTTTTCTCTACAAAATTGTATTTGTAAGAGTCCCCTGTACATCCTAATTTACTAAATTTTCTCTTTGAATAAGTTCTGAATCACCCTGTATAAAATTATATTTGCCATGTCATACATAAATACTTAACTTATAAGTAGAGCTCGGGACTCGCGTCGGCCTTTCGCTACAGCGCACCGTACGAAACCGGTAATAACGGCAGTTATTGGCTTCGCGTTTGCTTCATGTATACGTGTTTTAATATTCTAATAATGTCAAACGCGCCAAGGTGTAAAAACGACCTTTCGCTGATAAAGTACGCAAATTTATTTCTTTTTATTTATTTGTTTACGACAAACACGCCTATAAATAGCCGACGAAAACCCCAAGCTTTACTTAAAAGAATTCGCTTTTAAGCATTACTTTTTTCTATTAACACCACTCAATATTTTTTTACACTCACTAGTGATGACAATCTTTGATTACATTTTCATAGTTGTACATAACACCTACGTTAATAAAAATTGATATGATCATTTTGTCATTAAGGTGCAGGTTTTTTTATTTTAATAAATCAGTTACACTTTTTTACAAAATTGATAAAATTTTGGATAATACATTAATTAGCTTTATTTCCACAAATCTTCAAAAGCTAATAACATTGAAATATTATTTATGAAATTGCCCAAAAATATATATTAAACATTGTTTTATTATCATTACGTCATTCATGGGAGTTAAGTTCTATAATAGTTTGACTACAGAGGAAATCTCTGTACCGTAAATGCCAATACCAAGTATTTTAGATTTATTATATAGGTGTCACCGTGAATAACAAAGTAAACAAAATGAAAGATAAGATCGTGCATTGTACTTACGTTGGCGGATTTACGATGTTGAATAATTCCACAGTCGATGTAGGAACTCTTCGTACTATCATTTTTTTTCCATCTGTAGAACCCATTCCTACTGATGCCCATGATCTTATAGAAATAGCATCAGAAGAATATTTTGGGGTATGACTTCCTACGTCACTAGTTGTTAACTTTGGTTGATTAAACTCGTTTAATAAATAGTAGTTTTTTAACGACCTGATACTATTTTCTCGTCGAAAATTAGAATTAACATGCACTGTAGAAGCACTGTTGTTATTATTAATGAACGGCTTTTCTATTTTTGAAAACTTGCTGAAAGAATCTGGGGACGACAATTCACTTTCGGCTCTTTCCACTTTACTTCTAATATCAAAATTACTATGTTTTTCATTTCCATTTCCAGAGGTCGTTTCATTTGTAACGTCTTTCGTCACTATTCCAATTTCTTCCATTTTCTCCAGAAAATAATAAATATGCTTTAACTACTAATTATGAAATGACAACTAAAGCTGCCCGTAACGTGTGACTAATAGTATTTTGTTTGTAACGGAGAACTGATACGCTTCGTAGCTATCACGAGACTAACATGTAAGTACCTAATGTGTAATTACCTACAATTTCATTCAGAGATCTATTATAATTTAAGAGTAGGAAACCGAGTTCGTTTATATCTTTAATCCAACAAATAAATATAGAATTTTTAAATTTTACACACATTTACTCATCATATCACCTACTTCTTAAGCATATTTAGAGAATGACTTTTTAAACTTGTAGTATAGACCTATTTAGTTATTTAGTTTAACAGTAAACACACAAAACAGTAGGTATTTGAATATAATAAACACATCAGGATTTATTTTTTAAATATACCGTAACGAAATATTTTCGATATTTGGTTGAATTAAAGAAATTTTAAAAAATTCTAATGACACAGATACCCTTTGTACCTAGTTATGTAAAAATGCAAAATCTATGTTATTTTTCTATAAAGGTGAGGGGGCAATTTATAGACGTCGTGTCGGCGAGAGAGTTATTCACTCTCTTACATCGCAAAGTTGCAAGATGTGTTGCCGACCTCTAGTACCAATATCTTTTTACATCTGATAATGCACAGAAAAAAATTAGACTGCCGGGCGATCCCATATTGAACACCCGTTGGCGATATTCTTTTTTCTAAGTATTGTAAAAATAATAGTGATCTTGATTAAAGTAATCGCTCAACGGTTTTTGTGGAATGAAAATTAATAAGAAATTAAAAAGTAAACACAATTTTTAATTCATTGCCCAACATCAACGAACCGGAATTGAAAAGATTTTATATAATTAATTAAAATTACCTATACAGGGTGTTCCAATTACAACTCCCAACCTGGAAAATATAAGAATTAAAAAAAAAACAAAAAACATTGAGACACGTTGATTTTCTTTTCAAGGGGGACACGTCATGGCGTATGTCTCGGTGTCTTGGCTCCTTAGGCAGGGGCGTAAAATACTCTTAAACTTTAAGTGGCACTCTATGTTGAGTGATCCCTCATATTAAAGCTTTTTCAATTCTGCTCACGACGACATACAATTTTTAAATTTTGGTTTGGATATGACAATAAAATCATTACTCAAAAAATAAGATAAAAAATATCAATGAATGAATGTTATTTTATTAAATGTTCAAATTAATTTCCTTCCTCTTCTATACAATAATAAAATCTTTGCTTCACTTCCGAATGAACATTTCGAAACATTTTTGGCGTTCTCTGACGACAGTCTTCAACAATTTGCCGACGAAGCTTCTCAAGTGAGTTCGGTCGTGTTGCATACATTTTCGACTTTAAGTGAACTCTCACTCAATGGAACTCCGCATCCTATCCAGTGATTTGCAAAGATCTGATTAAGAAAATCACGCACAGTTACGGCATAATGTAGTGACCACAATCCTGCTGAAACCACACATCCTCTTCTGGCAAAGCGTTGTTATTTTCCAATATTTCCACAATCATTGGGTAGATATTCGTTTTCAGTAGATTCAGATACATGTTCTCATCCAGATTTCTGGGAAGGATGAAATGCCCTATGAGGTGGTCTCCCAGTTTGCCCGCCCAAACTTTCAATTTCCTCGGATGCTGCGTATGAGTTACATAAAAAATGCGTGGATTTTCCTCACTACAGTAGCGGCAATTATGGCGGTTGACTCAACCATCCAGTTGGAACGTATATTCATCGGAAAAATAGATTGAGTACAAAAAAATTTGGATTTCTTCGAGCACGATCACTCATTTCTTTACAGAATTGCAAGCGGCGATCAGGATCATCTTCATTAATAATAATCGAATTCAATAAAGGAGCGAACTTGAATTGACTAATAAGTCAATATGTAGAAACGGATTTTATTAATATGAAACGAGGAATATTTCAAGGTGGCGACTTAAGTGCCCTTTGGTTCTTTATGGATATATCTTACCTTATATGTCTTACCATAATCCTTCGTCAATTGCTCTTAATACTAAATATGGATTTCGAATTAAACAACGTGGAGTACTATTATATAAAATAAACCATTTTGTATGTGGATGATATAAAAATATATACTTACCTCCAAACGAACACAATTGCAGGGATTGCTAAAAACAACAGAAATTATGTCCAAAGATTCAAAATTCGCTTGGAAAGGGGAAGGATTGTACTGTGAGATGCTATTCTTAGTTTTGAAAAAAGAATTACCTAACAATATATAATATATAACCTCAAATATTTGTAAAAATCGCGTTTACTGCACTTTAGGTTAGAATATCTGAAAAACCTTAGGTGATTGAACATTTCTGAGACCAGATTCTGTTCCAGCGATCCAAAATCCTTGCTAAATGACTATTCGTACTGAATTCACATGAATCATGTCCACCAGTGTCATCATTAGTTACAGAGTCATCGGAATTTCATTTGTATTGGAATTGATCTGATTCATCGACATTCTCCGATACGGGTTCGTCGAGTGCTCCCAATACGTCTTTTATTTGGTACATCGCAGAAATTTCGATCTTTTCACTGGTTCACTTCTTGAGTCCTCTATCAGTTGCTGCATATTCTTTACGCAGGTACACGTTGTGTCTTGGAAGTTGATAGCACGGCAATGTCCTTAACCACAATGCTTTTTCCTGACTATTTCTTTTACGTCCCTTATGGGGTTTTGTGAGTACTGTCAGAGTTATTACCCCTCATTTTACTGAGGATTGAAATTACTGAGTCTGATAGGCATTCTTTCCGTTTTTTTCCTTGTCAGGAATCCTTACTTTCGGCCTGTCAGGGTTAAAAGAGCAAATCCAGTTTTGTTGAAACCAGCAATAATATTCTGGAATGCATTTCCATCGCTAGTTAACACATCTTAAAGTTGTGTTAATAGTTCCGGAAATGCGTCTTTCGTTAACGAGTTGCTCATCTTCCTGTGTTTTTTTCAATTGCGATAAGATGTTCCTCCATACCTACTTCTTTAATGGAACCTAAAAGGCAACATCTAATGGTTGCATGACGTGGGTCGCATTACTTGACAAGCATGTAAACTTTATATTCATTTCTTCACATGTTTGAAGCACTGCTTCAGAGAAATGCGAAGATAAATAATTATCCCCAAGCAGTACCTTCCGCTCCTCTTTTTAGCCCGTCAAAATGGAACTATTATGGAATAAAACTAGTCTTCAAAACAGGCAGCACCGAACCAACCGTTCCTAGATCTATTGTATTTGGTACCAGGGGGACCTATAAAGTCCAGGTATCCTATTGCTAATTCCGCGTTATAGACTACACAGAGGGGCAGCATATGGTCAACTGCAGTCTCAGCATATATTTAGGCTACTGGCTGCTGTTTTCGTAGACTTTATAACACGTTCTGGATACTTACTTCCCCTTTTGACAATAAATTTCTTCGTCCCAGGATTGTATCTTAAGTTCGTTTCGTCAAATTAATGAACAAGGTAGGATCTGTTGATTAGACATAAGACAACAAATATCAATTCTTCCTCTTCGGAAAATAATAAAGGCCGTTCAGGTCGTTTGTACATGATGTTTTGACTCAAAACTCGCCGAACATTTCTTAATTTTGGTACAGCAAATTTCTTGGCGCTGCTAATATGGTCATTTTTTTCAATTTAACTGCTTGTATCGCCTGGTTTGCCTTCGAATACGACATGTACGGGTGAAAATTCTTTCCATTTCGGTATCTGAGTAAGGCTTCTTTTATATATTCTTACTATTCTGAACCACTAAGTAACCTCGAATTTACATCCCAAGTAGCCCCATTTTACAGAAAAATTCATAAAAAAAATGTCATGGTATACATTTCAAAGTTATCATTTAACATAAGCACACATACAACTGTATGGATAAAAAGAATTAGCCTGCCATGAAATCAGCCAAGTCAACAATGGAAGTTAGACAAAGAAAATAGTGGGAAATATTTTAAAGGAATTTTTAAAACGTATATACGACGTTACTTACCAACAGAATGTAGCTCTCGACCTAGCAGCTGCACAAGCACTGGCAACCGCCACACGAAATGTATAAGTGGTTTGGCCGTTACAGTACTACCAACTATAAAATAATTTTGGAAATTCGAATAACCCGTTTTATGGTATAAGAAAAAAGTGGAAATATGAACAATTCAAGGAAGCACTAAACAACGAAAAAGTGCCTCGCGCCTTTATTGATGGCATTGTTTATAGCCTAAATGATCTGGGACCAAGGGGCACTATCACTCTGTTCTGTTCATCGCTGTAGATCTGTACAGCCTTCTGAAGGTGGGCCTACAAATGTAGCCAGTGTAGCACTTGTGGGACCTCCTCTTGTCCTGGCTGACCCCGTCCGCCGGCAGGGGGCCTCTTCTGGCGCTCTTTCTGTTTTCTCGCTTCGTTCTTCGCCGGCTTATTTCATAATCTGAAATATGTAACTTTTTTTTATAATTTAACCAATCCCAGAAGATATATATCTTCTAGTTTAGGAGATACTAATGCTGTGCACCTTAAAAGTGACCACCCTCCCTGAATAGTAGTTTTTATTTAACCGAAGGTTGGGGTGAATAGAAAACAGTAATTGATTTTACATCTATTTTACTATTATCCCTTAATTAAGAAGTAATAAAAGCGTAGGTGCAAATATTCTGAACGCTTAGTCACAAATCAACAAATAAATTCTATAAATGTGTATATGACCGGAAATGCTTCAAATGGTCGAATTTTAAACAGATAAATAATAATTTGCACTTGGGTTAAATTGTAATAATCAAAAAATGTCTCTATTATGAAATGTCAAAATCACAAATATGTAGGTATGTACACAGTGTGTCCAAGATAAGGATGGGATAGCATTAGGATCTAGGAAACGGTAAGATACGGCCCTGATTTTTTAGAGGCAACTTTACTCCCATTTAAACTACTTCGTATCTTTTACCGTTTCCGAGATCCCTGTAGTGAGAAGCGATTTTGTAACAGCCTGTATCTGAACGGGAAATCCTATCGATACATATATACAGGGTGTCCAATATAAGGATGGGATAGCATTAGAATCTAGGAAACGGTAAGAGA